ACAAGAAGTCGTTCCGTCGGTCAGAGTTATTGGACATCAATTATAACGACAATCGTATCACTGATTGAGTGTTTGTTAATTGTATACAGAGTTAGGCCTAAACTGGTTGTGTGTAACGGACCGGGAGTTTGTATTCCCATCTGTTTGTCCGCTAAACTACTTTTAAGAGACGTTCGCATTGTTTTTGTGGAAAGTTTTTGTAGAACTCAATCCCTTTCCCTCTCCGGAAGAATACTCTATTTTTGCCGCATTTGCGACCACTTCTTAGTCCAATGGCCACAACTCACTCACCGATACAATAGAGCCAAATATATCGGACTTTTAGTTTGAACACACCTTTCACTCAATGAAAAATGAATGCATATTTGAAACAAATTTATTTGAAATAAATTTATTTCAATTAATTGTTGTGTAAATTTTGACATTTTATATAACATATGGAAACCAAATGTGAAAACATTTTTAATTTGAATAAAAGTAAATATTTATTGTAATAAAACTATATTTATATAAGATATTGCATATATGGCACCGAATAGTCTGATTGTTACAACTTTTCAAAAGCTTTTTAATAGTGTTTTAAAAGTTGTAAAAATCATAATAATAGTCCATTATATGAATTATTGTAATTTAGAAATAATATATTGTTTTATATGACTTAACAAACTGTTTAACACCTAAATATCGTTTATAATAATTATAATTTCATTCATATATCAAATTAAACATTTTGAACACCAAACAAAAATTAACTAAACTTTGTTTTATATTAATTTTTAAATTTACTGATAAGTGATTACAAACAAGTATTGAGTGAATTCCCGGTATTTGTCATAAATATCTAATTATATTGTATATATTATAGAGAAATATAAAACAGCCAACATTTGAGTCAATAAATACATATTTGTATTTTAACAGTAGTTATGGCGAATCAAATGATAACGTTATAAAAAACACTCAAATTTCAGATCAAGACGTTTATCATAATTAGTGATAATTGTTATAATTGTATTTACATTCAGAACTGTTTTTGGATGTTTGAGTTGGAAGTGTGGACTTCCACTCACAGGATAACTGTTTTTATACAATAATACTGGGTTTCAAACATTGGGAAGAAAACAAAAATTGTTATAATTGTATTTACATTCAGAACTGTTTTTGGATGTTTGAGTTGGAAGTGTGGACTTCCACTCACAGGATAACTGTTTTTATACAATAATACTGGGTTTCAAACATTGGGAAGAAAACAATATTATTTGCCAAACACTTATTTACACAAATTTGAAGAAAACATATATCTCTATATTTATTTTAATTGCGATCAAAAATTATAGATATTGGACTCAAATATAGATTTTGCACTAATTTTTATAACTTAAATTCAATAATATTTATAGTGATTAAGACTTTGATAGACTCTCACATGTCATATAATATTTATGCTATAATTTGCAATCAAATATTTCCCTCAATATT